TGGTAACCAGTGGGAGACCTGACATTGTCCCCATACCATCTTTACATCACCTCTTGTGGCTCCAGGAAAAAATGGGGCAGGAGGTCTGGAACATGGCCAGAACTGGAGCTTCTGCCATGAAAAGATGCCTGGGTGCCCAGCAGAGACCCACCACCCCAAGTCTAGCGGGTAACCTTGGCCAGTTCCTCATCTGACCTAGGCCTCAGTTTACCCACCTGTATTGTGTTTAGGAGCTGGGGGCAAGGAGAGAGTTGCTGGTCTCTCTGCACCCTTCCTGTTCTGAAAGACTCTCAAGGTTTTTGCCATCTTAAGGAAAGATCAAGGGGTACTGACCCATGTCCTTCAAATTATTCTCCTAGGGCCCAAGGAACAAGCAGCCCCATAAGGCATCACTGGCTCCCCCTGCCCTCACTGGGGCTCTAGGGAGTTATTTGCTGCTGCAGCCTGGTGGGCCCTGGGTCTCTGCCAGGCCACCCACGTGGCAGCCACACAACATGCCACACTGACCTCCAGCTCACCTCCGAGAGTGCCCAGCCCCCTCTGTCAGCAGGGCTCCCTGGCAGAACACACCAAGCTCACACTGGACCTCTGACATCGGGCATTCCCTCCTGACTCCCAGACCCCCTCCCCAGCCTCGGTGCCCACCCCTTCTGTCCCTGGCTTTCTGCCACTCAGGCTGGAGGGGGCGGGTGGTGACAGCTGTGTAAGCGATGGCGACTGCCCCCTTCCTGCCCCTCCCCCTCAGCTGTCTCTCTCTCTCTCTCTCATGACAGCTGCCCAAAGGGCCGGGGGCTTAGCCAGCTCCCCCCACATGCAGGGATCAAGTGTCCACCCTGCCTTTGTTCTGGAGCAAGAACAATCCAGGGGAGGGGAGGGTTCCTGGGGCCAGGCGATTCAAGTAGACTGGCCCACCCCTTGGGGGATTCCCTCCGCTCTGCTGGCCAGAATGTCTGGACCAGCTGGGGCCTGTGGACCCACCTGGACTTCACTCTCCATCTCATATACCCCCCATCCCCTCAGCACCCCCAGCTCCCCGCCTAGCAGCCTACTTCTTTCCCAGCCACACTAGCCACACCCAGTGATGCTGGGGAATGGCTCAGAGCATCCTGGGAGGCAGGGTGTGATGGGGGTGGACCCTTGGCCTGAGCAGGTCTGCACCGAGGGCTCCAAACTCTCCTGCCCATCCCCTTCTCCAGGGATGCTCACTCTCCTGACTAGCCAGGCCTTCACAAGAACTGCCCCAGCATCCTCAGACACATGTGCCCAGCCTCTTGGCCTCCCAGCTTCCCAGGATGGCCAACCATCTCCAGCTGGGAGAGGAGAAGAGGAGTAAGGAGCCTCAGGTGAGCATCCTGGGGTCCACAAGCTCCAGCCTCTGGCTTTTTCATTCAGATATGCCACACAGACAAAGTGCCAGGAAGGGAAAGGCAGCTCTGACAAGTTGGCAGGTGCCAGAAATGCTACAGCTTCCTTTACAGCATCATTAGGCAGCCCCCCAGGAGACTTCAGAACCAAGGTAAACCAAGTCAAGCCTGGCTCTGGCTGGGCTCCAGGAGAAAGGCCATGGTCTCATGCTACCCATCCCCTCACTGTCTCATCCACATTGAGAAAGGTCTCTAGCTCCCATTCTCTGTTCTGAAAACTGTATGCTTACTCTCCTGCTCAACAGCTACCCATGGCTCCCCAGTGCCCAAAGAATAAAGCCTGAGCTCCCCGGACAGGCCATCAAGGACCGCATGATCCAGCCTCTGCCTCTCTGGTCTCATCTCCACCCCATCCTCCACACATCCCAGGCTGCAGAACACACTTAGCATCTCCAGCCCTTCAGGCCTTTGTCCAGGCTGACCTCAGCTCAAAATGCCCGTCCTCCTCACTCTCTGTCAAAATCCTTCTCAAATGCCACCTCCTCTGTGTAGCCCTCCCCAGGCTTACAAGTCGATGTGATCACTCAGGCCCCTGTGCCCCTCAAAGATGTTGCTGCAACTCAAAGAAGTCCCCATTGGGCATTTCTGAGCCTGTCTTTACATGATACAGAGAGCTCCAGAAAAAGGAAATTTGAGACAGGATCAGGCTCAGTGTGCAGGGAGAAGAGTTGAGGCTCACGGGGCCTGAGGACTTTTGGAACCAAAGATGGTGCTGAGGTTCCCAGAGGAGTAATGAGAGTAGAGTGAGAAGACCCAGACATGAGGGACCAGCCACATGGCAGAGGTAGGACCTGCCTGGACAGGATTCCTGGTTCCTTTCTCAGCATCCCCAGCCCTACTCCTGCTGTTTTACCAGGACTAGGGGCTCCTGAGGTATGCTGCTGGGGTGGGGGATTTGGGCTGTGCTTTAGGTTTTCAGAGGGTGGGAGCAGAGTGCGTCTCCTTATGGAAAAGGGGGACTGAAAGAAGAGTTGGGGGTTGGGGTACATTTCACAAGTGGAGTTGGACTCAGCCTGTCACAGCTGGAAAGGCCTCACCGATCACAAGAGAAGCCCGAGGCCCAGAGAGGAATGGAAACGTTTGTAAGGCTACATGGAAGGCAACTGGCAGAGCTGGGAGATCTAAGGAGTCTACCTGTGCAGCTCAGAGCCCTCCTAAAGAGGTCAGCGCCACTGGGCAATGGTGATGGAGGCTGCAGGGACAGCAGTGATGGGAGTAGGGAGGCTGGACAGCCTGTCTGGGGACACAGGGTGGGGCAAACCAGCCTCCTCAGTGGCCTGGGCCTGCCAGGGTGTGTGGGCTGCCTGCTCCCAGCCCCCCACCCTGAGCATGCAAGAAGAACAATCCCCTTGTGTTTGGGCAGCCTGAGCCTGCATGCTGATGAAGGCTAGGGGGTGGGGGCTGGGATGGGGGTGCCCTAGAGGTTGAGGGGGTTCCAGGACCTGGAAAGGCCAGGAGATCTTTCAGATGAGGAAAGCATAGGGTCCCAGGTACTTGTCCTGAGCCAATGAGGGTGACCCAGGGAACAGGGAGGGCAGGAGCTCAGCTCCTAAGGAGTTCATGGGTTCTAAGAGCCTTTGGAAGGAGAAGGAGAGCCCCTGGGAACACATGTCCTGTGGGTTCAGCATGAACATGATCATCCTGGGCTTGGTGGGGAGAAAGGAATGCAACCGGTCCTGGGTGCATCACCTTGGAGACCACCCCCCTGGGTGCTGGGGCCGGGTGGGGCACTGGGTGCCACAGGTCTCAAGATGGCGGGCCAGGGATAGGGGAGCAAGGAGGCGGGCACCTCCCTCTCCTGGCCAGGCAGGCATGAGAGCCAGGCTGAAGTGAGTAGCACAGCCTCCCACCCCCATCCCCCAGGACCCCAGCCAAGAAGCTAGGTCAGAGCTGAAGGGCTGAAGAGCTATGGGGCAGGAGGGACCACTCTGAGCCCCCAGCTGTCATCTCCATACACCCCTGGCCTGGAGGTCTGTCTCTGGCTCACCCAAGGACTGCAGAGGATGGGAAGGGGTGTGTGTCCAGCCAGAAGCTACAGGGGAGTGGCAGATGAGGGCAGAGATGGAGCAGAACTAGAACCCAGAGCAGGCGGCAGAGAGAGGAGCAGGCCCAAAGGATAGAAACAGCGAGTGGGATGGGGGCCTCAAATCTGGGATCTAAGGTCCAGGAAGCCCCTCCCTGGAGCCGGGTGCTCCTCTGGCAGACCAGCGCCCCCAACCTGTGCAGGCCTCAGCCGTGTGGGACAGGGAGCGTATTCCTCACAGTCTCGCAGTCTTCCAAACCCGGGACCCCAACCGAGGGATCCGGGCACGGGCTCCCTGCCCCCGGACTAACCCCCAAACTTCGCGGCCCGCCGTGCCCCGCCCGGCCCGCGCCCTACCTCGTTGGGGCTGTCCTGCAGCGGCGGCGGCGGCGGCACGGCGGCTGGGCCGCTCAGTCCCACATTGTCCCCGGGAGAGGCGGCCGCTCACAACTGCGAGTGACATCAGCTGCGAACAATGAGGGGTTTGACAGGCGCGGAGCCCGGCCGGCCCGGAGCCCGGCTCCGCGCCCCCCCCACCCCCCGGCCCGCCCGGCCCGGCCCCTCCCCGCCCCCTCCCCGGATCCGATTACAGCGCGGCGGGCCCGCCCCAGCCGCCCCAGTGCCGCAGCCGCCCGCCCCGCCCCGCCCCGCGCGCCGCGGTGCGCCCCGAGCGGCGGCCGCTTCCGGGAGGGCTCGGGCGACCCTTCCCCTGCCGCTCCCAGAGCCCGGCGGGTTGCGACCACGGGCGTCCGGACTGAAGCGCGGTTCGCAGCCCCTTCCCCGCGCCGCCCGCGCTGCGCCCGGCTCCGAGCCCCTCAGCTCCCGCCAGGCCAGTCCTTCCGGCCCGGGCCGCCAGCCCGACGCCTCTGCCGAGCCCCCTGCACCCCCCATCCCCTCCTCGGCCCCGCCGCCAGCCCCCGCTCCGCTTCGCTCCGGGCCGGAGTCCCTCAGAGCTCCGGCTGCGATCCCGCGCCCCGCCCAGCTCCCGGCTCTGCTCCCTGCGCGCCATCCTCCGCTCGGGCTCGCGCCCACCGAGACCCGCTCCCCTCGGCCACCCACAGCTGCATGGCCCGGCCCTGGTCCGCGCAGGATAGGCTGGAGGAGGGGCCTGAGAGTCGTGTGGCCCTGTGCACCCGGCTCTGTGATAACCCCGAATCTAACCCCGAAATTCCTTTTGGGGCTAGGGTCGCAAGGGACGGGCTCCGTTGAGTCTTTTACTGGGGAAAGGATAGTAGTGGAGGAGGAGCTGAACTGTTCTCAAGTCCCCCGGATCTCCTCCGGCTCGCCGTCGGGGGAGCAACTGTCCTCCCCCTCTCCTCCATAATCGGCTCAGCCTGGTCCCACTGACCTCCACCTCCCCCAGCAGCTGAGTCTCTTGGCACCTGGGTATGTGTGGGTGGGGAGGGGAATCCAATCTCCCTTCCTTTCCATCTGGCCTGGTGGACAAAGGGCAGGGGGACCATCTGGTCCTGCCGGAGTGGGGGAGGGGCCCGCACTGTTGGTCCCAGGGATGGGGGAGGGGCGGCGCTTTTTAGACGCAGGAGCCGGTGAGATCTAATTGCATCACTTTATTTCACCGACCTCCACTCTGGCTCCCACCCCTCAAGCCTCAGAGCAGGAATCAAGCTTCGCTGAGAAGCCTCAGGCTTGGTAGCTTGGGGAGATGCAGAGCACCCAGAAGGAAGGGTAAAAGCAAGGGGACAGAGCGGTGGCCCTCCCTTTCTGGGGGCCACTTCTGGCCTGGGGCCAGCTGAAACCTGTGGCTGAGTAGCTTTCAGGGCTGGCCACACCCTAAGCCTTGCAAAAGGGTCTCCTGCAAGGGCTGACCCATGGGGTCCCCACCTCCCCAGCCATGGTTAGAAGTGCTCATGTGTGCAAGTGCTTCTTTGGAGGCTCAAGTATGCATGTGTTAGGCGAACGTGATAACCACTACACTACGGAAACACCCCCTCAAGTATGCATGTGTGTATATGCACAGCTGCACATGAGAAGGTGCATGCTGGTCCAGAGTTACATGTACCTATGCAGTTGCTCTCAAGCGAAGGGTCATATTGGGGAACATGGATGGCTCTAAACACGTAAGCGTGCATGTGGGCATGTATGTATGTGGGGAAGTGGGTGTTGGGGGAAGGGCTGGCCTGCAGGGCATTTGCAGAAGGAGGAAGGGTGGCAGGGGAAGGCTGGGAAGGGCAGAGGAAGGAGTAAAAGCCAGGCAGGAAAGTGGAAGAATAGGAGAAGCATATCTAAAGGATTACCCTCCACCGGCTTATGTTCCTTGATTCCTGAGGTTTCTTTCTCTTGATTTTACCTCCTCAATCTATTACTGCAAAAGAAAGAAACAGAAAAGACAAACAGACTACAAAAGACAAGAACCCAGACATATAGACAGACGCACCTGTTGCATGTGCATGGGCCAGAGCCCATGAGAGAAGAGAGGGCGTGTGGTGTGTGTGTGTGAAAGAGAGAGAGAGAGAGAGAGAGAGAAGAGAGAGATCAGAGCAGGCAAGCAGCCCACCCCCTGCAGCAGTGCTGTGCTTCACTCCAGCCCCTGCAGGAAGTCTAGCAGCCCCGTATGCCACTCCTCCGGTTTGTCCAGGTAACAGGGGTGCCCCGCCCCCTTCATGATCAGCACTTGGTGGTTGGGCAGGTGCTTCAGGTGCTCAAAGCTGGTCTGACCCATGGGGTCCTGGTCTCCATATACAATCAGAGCCGGAGTCTGAGAGGAAGGAATGGTGGGGGGCAGAGTCAACAGGGACCTGCCATGTCAGCTCCAGTCCTCCCCACCACTTCAGTCTCTCCCTGGGACTACCCCATATAAGGGAGAGAGACAAGCTGGCCCACTGCATGGTGGCACAGATTGGTGTTTGCCCCAGTAAACAATTTAGCACAGGGCTCGGCACAGTAGCTTGCTGAGTAAACCAAAAGGGTGGAGTTGGGCAGCCAGCTCCTCCCAGAAGACGCCCCTTGGTTACCCAGCCCCCAGATAAGGAAGGCCCAGGAATGCACCCTTCCTTGCTCCTTGCTCCTGGCAGGGACACCTCAGCCTCCCACACAAGGGTACCTTCACACTGGCATAGTTGGCAGCATTGATTTTGTCAGTGCAGATGGGGGCCACTGGCACATAGCCCCGGAGCTGGGAGCCAGGGGCCGTCAGGAAGGGCAGGGAGTACATGCCACTCAGTGATGGACTGATCACAACTGGGGAGCCCAGCTCCAAGGCATCCACCACAGCTGCCAAGAAGCTCCCAGGAGCCAGCTCCCCAATAGGGGCAGGGGCTGCTGCTTCCTTGGAGTGCCCCAGACCTGCAGGGATTGAAGTGTGGAAAAGACAAGACCAGAGCAGTGAATGGCAAAACAAGGGAGATGGTCCCTCTCTCCAGGAAGCCCTCCTAGATCACTTTCTCTGTGGCCAGGTTCCTATAACATCCAGTGTGCCCACGTTTATTCCTACAGTAGCCTCACTCTATCCTATCTGTGCCAAGCATGAGGCATTTCTCTCCACGTCTGTGCCCGTCTCCCCAGCAGTAAGTGTCCCGGAGAGAATCAAGCTGTGAAGCCCAGTAAGTCTGGGTCCAGAACCCAATTCTGCATCTCCTGTCTATGTGACCTTGGGTGGGTTCCCTCCGTCCTCTCTCAGCTGCTCAGTTTCCCCGTCTGTTAAAGGGAGAAAACAAAAGTATCTGCCATTTAAGATTACTGTGAAAATTAACTGCGTGAAAAGCAGCTGGCCCTGGATTGGCACAGGAGAGGCTCCTGAAGGATAGTGGCTGAGGGGCAGGTTCTGCACTCATAGCTCCTCCTCCAGTCATTCAGGCTTCACCAACAAGATTAGCTCCAGACCTTCACCCTGAAGCTCAAGCCAACTCACTGTTGGCAACAATCCTGCCTGGGCTGGAGGCCTGCCCTTGAGCCCTGTGGAAACCATACCATCCCTAGCATGAGGGGATTGGGTCAGCCAGGCTGCCCCTGGCACCAAGGGTTGGGACCCAGCCGTCTGGGTTATGACAGGCAGTCTGGGCACTGACCCTACCTCCCCTGGAACCCAGCTCAAGGCTTTGCATGTGGGATCACAACTGGGGGCCTAGCCACCCACCAGGCCCTGCCTCGTATCCCAAGGCTTCAGAAGACTCAGGTCTCACTCCTTAGGGCTTTCCAAAAGCCTATGGTTATGACACAGTCAAAATATTTTACTTCCAGTTTGCTGAGCACCCATTACTCTGTGTCAGGTACTAGCCACATACTCACATGGATTAGCTTATTCCGTTCTCATTAGAGCCAGCCCCAAACATGAGTGTGGTTTTCTTCCCATTACAGATGAGGAAACAGAGGCTCAGAGACACTGAGACACTGCCCAGGTAACAGTGAGGAGCAGCTGGGTGGTCAGGACCACATGTGGATCAAGACTGCTCAGAGGCCCTTGCAGTGTGATTGACCAAACTCTGTCAAGCTCAGGGCCCAGCCTGGCTGGGTCCTCCCGATCCTATACCCCCCACCTGTGGGTCCCTGATGAGACTCCCCAACCCCTGCCCAGAAGCCTGCCCCTTAAGTACCTGGGAGGTCAATGGCCACAGCCTGGTAGCCAGCCTGGGCCAGCCTGCGCAGTGTACCCAGGTTCTGCCAGGTCTCGGAGGAGAAGCGGATACCATGCAGCAGCAGTACAGAGAAGCGAGCCTGCCCGCTGCCAGGCCGGGCCTCTCGGAAGAAGAGACCCTGGCCCTGCACCTGAATGGTGCCCTCACGCTGCTCCACGCTTGCCGCCATGCCTGCCGCTGCTGTGCTGGTGTAGGGCCTGTGATTCAAAGCCATGATGATGAGGGGCCAGAGAACACCCTGCCCAGGAGGAGAAGGGAGGCTGCCAGAGACAGGGTGGGGGTCCCACAGGACCAGCAAGGAAGCCTCCAGGAGGCTTCCAGAACTTTAGGAACATGCTTTGGGCTCAGGAGGATAGATGTTATTTCTGCCTCTGCCATTCACTTTATTGTGTAACCCTGGGCCTCAGCTTCTTGATCTGAAATATGGGAACAATAAAGCCAACCTCAAAAATTAGGAAGTTTACAAAAAAAATCATCAGTGGGGGTGCCTGCTGTAAAAACTCAATATGTGGGGCCCCCATTGTGATTACCATTCTTATTCTCATTGTTATCCTTTTCTAGAAATGGGGATAATTCAATAGCACTAGGTCACAGGCAGTTGACAGTATTAAATAAGGCGATGTATGTGCCATGCCTACCATGTAAGAAGGGGTCACTGCTCAATCAGCAGTAAGTACCCACTCTGGTACTTCAACAGTAAGTTACAGGTTTACAGGTCATGGGTTGGCAACGCAGACCAGAGGGAGCCCAAATTGAGGTAAAAAACCCATTTTCTTTTTCTTTTTTGGAAACTCTTGTTGCCCAGGCTGGAGTGCAGTGGCATGATCTCAGCTCACTGCAACCTCCACCTCCTGGATTCAAGCGATTCTCCTGCCTCAGCTTCCTGAGTAGCTGGGTTTACCATGCCCGGCTAATTTTTGTATTTTTAGTAGAGACGGGGTCGCGTCCTGTTGGCCAGGCTGGTCTGGAACTCCTGACTTCAAGTAATCCGCCCACCTTGGCTTCCCAAAATGCTGGGTTTACAGGCGTGAGCCACTGCGCCCAGACTAAAAGCCCATTTTCTTCTTTTTTTTTTTTTTTTT